TACCGCCAGCCCGGAAGCCTGGCGGAAATGACAACGGCGCACCTCTGACAACTTGGCCTTGGTCAAAAAGGGCAGCCGTTAGGACTTCAAGGAAAGCAGCGTCTTCGGTACAGCTCTACGGTTCAGCTCCAAGCTCAACCGTTTGGCATTATATTTTCTGAGTCGCGGTACCCGCGGCCAAGAGCTTCAAGAAGGTTGGTCTAAGATCCCGCCCGCGCGCGCGCTAAGGTACGTCACCTGCCGCTGACTTTTGCAGACGGACGGGAGCTATCTTTCCAGCTTCCTGCCGTTTTCATCTTTCGCTTCTTTGGCATCTCTTCCATCTCTTCAGTGTGCGCTGAAGTGGGTTTTTGGCTCATGTCCGGTCGTCGCTGTCTCCACTCTGTACCTTCCGTTCTGAGCATCGTGCCGTCGCGAAGGACATCCCCGCATCAGTCCGGCTGCAGCGCGCTGCCTTGTCGACGGGAGCTGGAGCCCAAGTTGCGCTCCTCCTAGCCACCCTCTCGCCTTCACCATGCAACCATTCTACGGAAATGCGCAAGCTTCAGATCAACAGCCGGCGGCTGCATACTCCAACGTGAGGTCTGCTACAGGCCCCATCAACGGAGGTGGGTATAACGTTGCAAAATATTGCGCTGGAAACTCCCGAGTCCACAAGACTTATCAGCTCCAAAGGTCCTATTCAAGACCCCTATCATGGCCAAAGTCCGCATGCGCGAGGTCGCGCTGATCTCCCTCCTCCGCCTCCAGTTCCGCCTCCACCACCACATCCTCCAAATCACCACGCAGGTGCTCCAGCCTACAATGTCAAATCATATCGGCAAGGCTCTCTTCAACAGCCAGTGCCTCAAGCTCCGGTAAATTCGAATCTCAATTTGACTGAATCTGACACTGTTTGCTAATTCCACACTGCGGCGAAACATAGTCCTCCGTGCCACATTACTCTGCGCAACAAAGCAACTGGAACAGAACAAGTGCCGCCGCCGGTCAGCCTTTTCGACATAGTCCGCCCACGGGCACAAACTATCCGCCACCTCCACCTTACCCGCCCGCAAGGTCTCAAACCTTGAATCAACCAACGCATGCTGCGACGATTGCAAGTGCGCCATCTTCCCAACAGCACCATGGCCATTCTTCCGCCTTCAATGGACATTCTGCGCCGAGTAGGCATTCCACTCTGCAGCATCAGCCGACACCTTACAACTCCGAGATTGCGAGCAATACAAATCCGTATTACAGCTCCGACCACTCTCCCCAGGGCGCACCTACACAGTATCAACCTCCCAAACCTCCCCTTCCAGCCCGCAGCAAGTCCAAATACGTACCCGAATACGCTCAGCCTGGGCAAGCACCACCTGCCTCGGAGTATGCTGTGAGCTCGCCAGTGGACGTTGCGGATGGTGTTGGACGCCATGCTCATAGAACGGGTTCCAACAATTCGAACCCGAATTCGTCGAGACAAAACCTTTGGCATCATTCCAGTCACAGTCTATCATCTGGTTCGAACGGAGCCAGCGTCGCAAAACAGCAGCCAGGTTTTGCAAATCCGGCTGCTTCTCAGCAGAGTAGTTACGCTCGTTCTGGATCCATGTCGATCCCAACAACCTCTCCCAGCACGACTGCCACGAGCTCAAACTCTTTGCCATATCCTGAGACGTCGAATTTTCCTAATCCCGCTGCATGGAGGCTTCAAGAATACGACGGACGGCCCTCGTCGTCCCATGAACAAAGACGACAAAGCTTTGGTGCACCCAGCTTTGGTTCGTCCGGCATGTCCCCGAATCTTCCCAGACGACGCAAGAGTCTCTCCAATTCGAACCGGCCAGTCTCGCCTTTGGTAGATTCGCCGACACCTTTCTCTTTGAAGAAGGGGCTTGCTCGTGGCAGCAGCGTGTCGAGCGTGTCAAGCGAAAAATCTCAAAGGACTTCGTCGATAGCAACAGAGGGAAGAACAAGCGCATCGGCCCTTGGCGGAGGCGCTCCTTCCGACTGGGAATACTATGGGCCAACAACTTCAACTGATGACGTGGAAAACTCTGAGAAGTACGACAAGGGGCCTGTCGAGCTACCAGCCAGTGATTATTTTGGCAAGATCAAACCTGCAGGTGGCGGCAAGAATGGACTGGTCATGCATGAGCTTCCAGCTGAACCGATCGCGAATGGTTCATCCCAGGGATCTGATTCGCTCGCCCACTCCCAGAAAGTTCAGTCGTCTTCCAATCCAAAGCCAAAGGTTCAACCGCTTGGGGTGGATTCAAAGCCAAATCCTGTGGACCGTGCCAATCATGTTGGCGCGAGTACAAAGACAGTGCCCGGTGGAGAGTCAAGCAAGCTTGCGCCGAATTCGACTTTATCGCCGAAACCAACCATTGCCGCCCTTCAGGCTGCCCGGGACGAGGCTTCGCGAAGTCCAAGACCAAAGCCGTCCCTGTTGAACCCCAAGCCTTCAGCTCCGAAACTCCGAGCCAAAGATGTCGTTCCAGATCTTGATGACTGGTATCAGGATTCGCTTGACAACTACATCCAGGCACTGAGGGACGAATCTTTTGCGCCGGATGGCCCAGACAAGCGGAAAGCATTCATAGAGTTTGTTATGTGCGAGTCGGAGCTTCGTAACCTTCCCATTCCTTGGGAAGAGTCTCTCAGATTCGATGAGGGTGGTTCGGATGTAGGACACACGGAGGCGCGCTCTCATGAAAGCGAAATGGTGAAGAATTCCATCCATGGACAGCGTGGTCCAAAGACTACTCTCGACATTCCAACTACTCCGATCGAACGGATTGATGAAGACGACGAGGAGTACAGCCCTGGTGGAAGACCGATCATTCCTCGGCCGCCTTTTGGGGCGAATAGGCCTGTTGAGGTCTCGAAATCAGCCGTGAATACCAACGCCAATTCGGCTGCTAACAGCGAGACTTCGAGTCAACCGCCCCTGTCTACACCAACAAGTTCCAAAGCTGACGAATCTTCGACTGTGGCTCCGTCTCCACTCAAATACAAAACGTTTGAGACCGACACAGCCGAGCAGGGCTCAAAGGAACCACTTCGTGCATTTGTGGCTTCACCAGAGAACATGGATGAGGGCACCAGTAACATGTTCCCAATGCCTTTGGCTCCGCGGCCCAAGTCTTCCACACCTGGACCGTCTTCGAAGGCGCCTAACTCTACGCCCGCGACGGAGACCACCATGTCACGCCTCAAATCATTGTTGGAGAACCTACCAAGGACCCAGAACTCGGGGGAGCATCCCCTCGTACACCACGTCAACTCGACTCTGTCTGCCATTCCAGATTCTGAGCCATTTTTGAGGTCCATTCGGCTAGCCTTTGGGTCACAAGAAAGAGACAAGCGTGAGAAATTCGAAGCCGAGCGGCAAGAGCGGCAGGATAAGGCCTCTCGTCTTAATGACGAACTCTTCGACGACAACGAAATCACTTTCGCTCAATTGAAGGAGCGCGAAAAGGACGAGAAGCAGGCCGAGGCCGCGAGGATCCGAGACGAGGAGCATGGTCTCTACGAAGAGTATGCCACACAAGTTTTTGACAAGTCGTACGCCCGCCTGCACGACGACATTGGCGTGGCCATGCAGCTACTCGAGGAGCTAGATGCCGCTGCCACGGCTGCTGAGCAGCGTTTGAAAAATGACTCGTCCACCCCCGAGGCGTCGACCTCGTCCACATCGGCAGATTCGTACTTGGCCAACCCACCGACTCTTTCCACTTGCGCCGGAATTCTTTGCTCGATCCATTCATTCCTTGCTGCTCGTCATGCCCTTGTCGCCGCTGCCATATCTGCCCGCGATGCTCGGTATGCGCGCGCTGCTTTTGCACCGGCGAATGCAGCGGGTGACCAAGCCAAGCTCAAGGCACTCGAATCGCACTTTGGACATGCGCAAGCGGAGGCGGCGTTGCGCGCGTCCAAGGAAGCGCTCGAGCTAGCCAAGGGCATTGACCAGCGGTGTGGCCAGTGGGTTGACCTGAGCCGTTCTAAAGCCGGAGAATGGATGGATTCAGTGGCCAGCGTGCTGGAAGAGCTGGCCACAGAAAAGAACCCGCGCGGAGAGCTGGGGGCCAAGGTCCTGGACGATGTGGCCAAGGGGATCGAGGCATGGACGCAGGAGCTGGCGTTGCTGATACGCAAGAATGGAGACGTGACGAAAGAGGTGAGGCACAAAGAGGGTGTTGTGAAGGTGGACAAGGCCACGGTTGATGGGCTGTCGAAAGAGGAGAAGACGAAACTGGAAGAGCAAGCGAAAAGCGGCGTTGAGGCCGTGGAGGCAGAAGTTGAGCGCAAAGTCGACGGCGCCGTGCGGCTCGATGGCGCCAGGGAGAGGCTCGTCAAGGCTTTGGATGGAGTTGGTGGGCGCGACCACGTCAAGCGGGCCAGGTCGGTCATGGCCGAGCCCAGAAGCTGGATTGGCAAATAAGGAGCTGATGTGTCGTGGTGCGTTTGTGTTGCCTCCTTAGACCCGTCGACATCTTCTCCTTCCCGTTTGAGCGCGCTGGTCGCCGATGGTTGCAGCGTTCAGCGAAGCAGGCCTTTTCCACGGTCTTTTCCTTCTGTGTCTGTACGTAACCAAACCGACAGATTGGCGTTGGAAAAAGGGGTCTTTGTTTAGTGAGAAGCGGGCAATTTGAACATGCTGTCGCAGGTACCGGCGATTGACGCAGCCTTACTGTCTTTCTCCGTAAACTTGATTCTAGACGACAATTACAAGCAGCATTTCTCGAATCTATCAAGCATCGCGGGGTTTCTTTGTGTAGCTTGTTTGTTGTCGTCGTCGTTCACGTGGTGGAGTGTCGCGCGCTCATGCGCTTTCTGGTTGGCTCTGCTTCCGGTCCAACCAGAGGCTCTGTCACCGGATTTCCTCCGATCGACTGGAGCGTTTATTAACGTCTCACTGCGAATTTACCGACAGTGTGAATGTACTATTGCAAGCTTGAAGGTCGCAGGGAAAAACAAAGTAGTATATATATTTTACAAGTAAGTTTCATTCTCAAGGTTGTATAGTGTAGTGGCTAGCACTCGGGATTCTGAGCTCTTTGGAAAATTCCCGCAACCCCGGTTCGATCCCGGGTACGACCTTACGCTATTCGTTTTGCATTTCGCTGTTTTGGGATCCTGTCATTGTTGTAGACGGGACAGGGCATCAAGATGTCACTGTGCAGAATTTTTTTGTTTGCTGGCCGCGCGGTGGGACAGAGCAATCAAGGGCCGCACTTGTCCAAGACATGCGCCATCACGACGCCTGATTGTCGGCCACCTCATGCATGCAAACGAGTATGACGATCGAGAGAGAGCAGTCAGAGAGAACGAGAGGACTTTCAATTTGAGTGTCGTTTCCCCGTTTTCGAGCCCTTCTTCATCCAACGGCTTCAACCAGGGTAGGTCTCCTCTGACTCTGTTCCAGCGTTCTTCTACTGCCCAGGTGGCGGCCGCATGTTCGCCTTGACGCGCTCCAACAATTCCTCCCTTGACGCCGCGTGGTTGGGCAAGAGGTTGCGCTGCGCGACGTTAGCGATTCGGACTCACGGCGATGCGGCGTCACACGCACATTGTTGAGCCATCTCTTCAGCGCCGACGTGGTCCAGTCTTCAGGATCTGGAAAAAGTCACGGAGCGTGAGCAAAGCCGACACTTGATTCGTCGGTGCAAACGGATATAGAATATGGAATTTGGGGCTGGGCTGGGCGGGTTTCACCAGAACAATATTTACCTACCTCCAGTCGGATCGGGCTCTCGCGGGAACATGTCGCCGTTGCCCCAGATCATCCATGCCGTGGTTGCAGTGATGATGCCCGCGAAAGCTGCACGCAGAATTGTCAGAGATGCTTGTCTTTGGCAGCCAAGAAGGGCAGTGGAGGTTGCGGTATTTACTCAGGAATGCTCCCTAGAACGGCGTGTCAGATGGACCGGTTGAAGAATTTGCCGGCCGAGATGATATACTTACTCTGGAGTGGGTGAGACGATCCAGCGGCGTCGACATCGTTTTTTCTTTCTCAGGTTTGTTGCAGGTGGTGGTGTTTGAGGATGCGTGGTGCTGTTGACATAGACAGGCAGCAGCAGTCAGTGAACATGTTGCGGCGACGTCGCTGATCATCAGGGCAACAATAAGCGACCGCGCCTACCTTTTTCGGCACATCCTGCTCTCTGCGCACCATCTTCTCGACGTCAAGCTTTGCTGTGGCATTTATCGAAATTCCTCTCCAATTGGACAAAGAAGTCTCCATTCCGTCGTTTGAGGGTTTGCGCATGATGACGGAAATGCGAAAGATTGACCAAGCTGCCAAGGTTTTGTGAAAAAGGGCAAGGAACAAATTCTTCTCCTGTGAGATGAGGTTGAAGGTTCCTCATATTTATCTTTCGACGGTGCTCAAATACTTCGTGTTCATAGCCTGTTGACGAGTATGAATACTCGATACTCGTGCTGCTTGTTGTTGTGCGTGCAACGAATTGTATACCCAAGCTTTGGGCCCTGCGGGATTTGAAAAGGACTGGTGACGCTGGCACAGAATGTTGAAAGAAAACACAATTCTAACTGCTATGTGGAAAGCCTGTATCACCACGATGAGCACCAAAGCGGAACATAAGTTTTCTGTTTCCAGTCTTTGGAAGTTGGCTTGCCAGGTACTGAATTTCCATGCCGGACGTAGAATCAGGAACCAACCCGAAGAAACAACATGGCAGCACTGAAAATGCTCGAAAAGTTGTTTGACTTTGCCACTTGTAATTTTGATGATGGTAGACATGCAGGACTCTCAGTATGATCTCATAAGGAAAACATGACAGACCAGGCGGGTACAGTGATTTGAAGCAACTTGAGAAACTCAGAGGCGAGTTTTGTCAGGTCCGCAACGATTCATGCCTGGACGATGGAGACAGCCTTCCAGCATGCCTAGTTGATTTTGGACATACCCGCAAAGAAGACGCGGTCTCCGTATGCCCTGGGTTGATCATCCTCGATCATCCTCCTCTTCTCCCGATACACACTTCCACCATCTCTCCTGACCGCTGAACTATTTCCAGCACGCTGTGTTCTTAGTATGGGAAAATCAAGACTCAAGAAAAAAGGGTGATGTCATTGAATGACACTGTCAACCAACCTACCTTTTCTGGACGTCGCCTAGCAGTTATTTGGGGCCCGATGCCATCTTTGGCTATGCGCATCTCGGATCAATATCAAATCGTTCGTGCCGGCAAGATACTGTCACGATGTCTTATCTCGAAACCCTCTCCGTGTACGTCATTTGTGTCCGTGTGCCTCGTCTCACATGCCCTGATACTTGTAACGGGTCTGACCTTTTGCCACTTGCGATCAACGGTACCTGCAGCTCGTGGATCGTCGAGGATTGCTGTCGGCTTCTGTTCCACGCGCGGGACTCCGGAGGGATGTCGGGTGTGGCATCATTTCGGTCAGAAAACAAAATACGACTTCGTGGCGATCTATCACACAGGCGGACTCGGAGTCTGGTCAAGATTGTGTCCAAGGTGACCGCACACGATACGACGATGGCGGTGCAGTAATATTTGCAACTCGAGGTTGGGAGGTAGCGTCCAAGGAGGGAGGGGACAAAAATAGCATCATTGCACCGCCACACGGGATGCCGAAGCGACCAAGCGGCCCGAGCTCCTTCCGTGTCTCCCTCCCTGTCGCACACTTCGGACCTTCGACTCCTTTGCTCCACGGACATCAACCGCCCATCGTATTTCGCGGGCATGCAAAACCCCACAGCCGATCTTCTGTCCGCTTCCACTTCTGCCATCTTCGAAAATCATTGCTTCGGCCGCCTGGCCGGGCGAGTGACTGCGTGAACCGAACCCCAGCCCGCTCGTCGTCCCCACCGCACCGTTTGTGACCGCAAAAAAGCGCTTCCGTCGCGCCGGTTTCCGCGTCATGCCCCGATGGAGGAACTCGACCGTGGTCCTCGTGACTCTTTAAAGACGGTGTGCCCTGTGGATCAAGAGCAAAGGGAATTTGGAAACCATGCGACACGCAGCTGGAGCAGGCATGAGAGTGCTTGGCGCAAGCGGAGCTTCCTGTTGGCAGAAACGACCTGCGCGAAAATTGCTCCGCTCGCTACTCCGCACTGTGATTGCGCGCAATGGCCAGTCAATCTATTCAGCGGAGCCTCGTGGGATCGAAAAGACTGGCGGGCGGCTCTGTCACTTTGCGAACGCGCAGCCAGTGCAAGTAAAGCCGGGAAAATCAGTCCATGGCCCCGCTGGCCTTCTGCATTCAAGACGAACGCGCGGTTTGCTTGTACCTGCAACGCTCCACTGTTTCACAGCACTGTCATTCAGGTCTTGCGGTGTTTGCACCACGGATCCAGCTCAAAGTTTATCAGAATGAGCTCGTGGATTTGAGATGAACACGACAAGGCTGAGACCATCTAATTGCGGGAGACGCTCGCCGGATGTGCCAGCTACAACAGTGGCAGCGCCAAGCGAGAAGTAAAAGGCTTCTTTATCCATCGTGTCCGCTTTGGCCGCTTCATGGCATTGCCTGTAAGTGCCCGAGAGCCGGGCTTATAGCCAACTTGCGCTCCCCACGCCAAACGTGGAGCATCACGGCAACGCAAGCTGACAAGGCGAAACGAGACAAGACGAGACGAGACGACAGCGGGAGAAACAATGACTAGGGTCCAGCTGCTTCAATTTTGGCAGGGGGAGTGCTATAAAAATCCCAAATAGGGAGCGGGAGGAAAAGTCCAGCACGAATCCAACACCCGCAGTATCGTACCCCTGCTAGCGACAATAGCAATTGAGTTGCTGTATGAAACACTTCTTGGACAACAGAAAAAAATTCCCACTTCTCGCGGACGAAAAGCGCCGGCGCGCTCAACGACGGAGACTCAACGGCCGATGCGAGAGAAAATAAGCGCAGCTCGTACGACTCTTTCGCGTGAAGGGAAAGTGCATGCACTCCAACTCCACCCAGCACCAACCCCGTGCACTGTTCCAAGGCCAATCCCTGCACACCCAATCCTCGGACGTCCATCAAGGTGCCCATAGCGCCAAGGAGAAGGGGAGCCAGCCTCCCCCTGCTCTGTTGCCGTCCCACTCTGCTGGGTGTCCCTGGACCCTTGACTTTGAGTGGGTGCTTGCCAGCACATCGCTACATGGCCAGGGGAGATATTTTCTCTTTCTCACGCCCTCACCACCTTTTGCAAGGCAAGACGGAGCACATCACCACTCGCAATTCTGACGAGACAGCAAGTGCTGCGGCAGTTATCGCGGCCCCCGTACTCGCGCCAGTCCAATTGGGTTGTTGTCGGTCGGCTCATGCCCGACGTCAACACATCTCGGCGCAAGTGATGCAAACGACCCGTCTCATGGAAATCTACCATCCTCTGCCTCCTCGCGTACATGTTAGCGCACACCACGAAGCGACCGCCATGTTGCACAAAAGCCGAACGCCTGCGTACTTCTGCCTGACCAAGTGCACCAGGCACGTAGCCTCCTCAGCTAGCTTTGATCGATGACCGGGAAGCACCAAGGTCCGCTCCGCAGCGGACAATGGCGCCACGGCAAAATCTTAGCTCCAGCAAACTCGATGCCCTCGAGGTTCCAAAAGTCAGCCGTGAGAATCGCGTGGCCTTCGTCAGGCCCGCGGTGATGCGATGAATGCTCCCGGGCGCAGAGTTTTGTGGGCCGCAGCGTTCGCTTCCGACGAGCTGTGGACACGAGTGCTGTTAGACATCGATTGTCCGGTTGATTTCAATGGGCAGGACTCGAGCAGTTTAGAGTACGCTGGCTCACTGCAGGTTTGCCAATAGCCCACAGCAACGTACCTGCTCCTAACGACGTTTGTTGTCCTGTCTGCCTCGCGCGATCAAACAAAAGTCTCCGACGATAGCTGCAGGTTCTTTGCTGTCTTTGCCTAGCAGTCTCTTCTACAAAACGGCGCCGTCTGGCAGACGGAACCAGGTTTGAGCCGACCCGTCCACGCCAAACGCCAATCGCCGCATGAGAGAGAGCCTTCCGCCCGCCGAGAGAGCAAGCACTCGGAGCCGCGGAAAGTCAAACAAAAGAGCCACGACCAAGAGAAAGGGAGAGGCTGCCAAAACCTTTTTGCCGCGGGCCCAT